CTCTTGGGCCCGTGGCGGGCGGCGCTCGGGGGCCCCCCGCCGAAGCAACCGAAAGCTCCGTGGGCAGCCCCTCTCCCCAGGGACCCACCCAACGTTCTGAGTCCCAGGGGAGAGGTGAAGGGGAGGGGTGTGATATGTAAAATAGCTGCATTCCTGGGAGGGGAGAGGACCGTTCGACTTGGTTTGGGAGTTTTTCTTTGCACCCAGAAGGTGTAGAAGTTTCTCTCTAGAAGGCACTGCCAGTTCACTTAGGTGCATGATTGATTTGGCCTTTCAGGGGTTGTGGTTCTTTGATGACCCTTGTGAAAGTGGAGAGAAGCCTTTTGGGTCTCCTCGTGTTTGTGTGCGTTTACTGTCGCCTCCAGTGACATCTACCTTAAAAGTTTATGTGCGGCAAGGCAAGTCGCACGACCAGGGTAGAACCAGAGACCTGACTTTTCCCCAAGGGCCTTTTGAGGGTGTGTGTGAGTTCTGATAGGGTCCGGGTTGGTAAGGGCCATGCCTTTGACCCTCGGAGCAGCGGGTGTATCTCTGCAGGAATGTTGAAACTTGATTTCCAAGTATTTTCCGCTGGGTCAGCGTTTCTCTTACCATTGTTTATGTGTTTGCACTTAACATAATTGAGAACTTGAAAAATTCGTCCAGCAGGTGTTTAGTAGAATTCCTGTGCGCCGACCATTTTTCTTAAATTTTGGCTTGAGTAAGGATCGTGAGTTAAACATTTTATAGGGAGTAACAGGTGTCAGTCAGTTGAGTATGTACTCATTCTCCCAACATTTTTCAGTGTCTGCTATGGGCTAGGCTGGCTGTGTGCTTTGCAGTGACTTTGTGCCAGGGAATGCAAAATTTCCAGAAGAGGAGTTTATTGCCTACCACGAATGAGTGAATCATCCAGACACCCCTCATGCCACCCCCTGCAGAAAAAAAGCTTGGCCTACAATTTGAATGTGACTCAGATGGTTTTTCTTGGGCATGTTAACCTTTCTTTGGCTTTCCTCACCTATGTTGAAAGGTATATGAGTTGCTTGTGTTAAGGAAGAAAATGAAAGCAAACCAAAATAGTTTTTCAGAATGGGTGAGTTGTTTCAAGGTAGGCTAGACCTGTCCCCCATTTTACAGTTGAATAAACCCAGAGATTAAGCTTTAATTTAGGTCTTTCTGATGCTTGTCAAGTATTTTTTCTTCTGTCATTACTTTGGTAAAATTCTTAAAACATGCCAGATAAAAAGGTGGAACAACCTTGCCTCATTGACATCAAGAGTAGTTTTGCCAAAATGTAAGCTACCTTGTTTATTTTTCATTTAATTGAATTGTTGAAATAACCTGTTGAGACATTGTCCTCTTTTTATAGATGAGGACACTGAGATTTAGGGAGTAACCTGTTTTGCTCAATATCACACTGATAGTAAGCGGAGAACCTAGGATTAAAAAAAAAAACACTCAAAGTTGGGTTTTTCCCTCCACCCCCCACTGGCAATTTGCTGCTCCCCTACCTGGGGACCCCTATAGAAAACTGGGGAGTTGAGCATTAGTTTTCATTTTTAATATGCTTTCTTTGGGCTATATTGAAGGTTTCTTGAATTAGATTCCCTTTTGAACTTCACAAAGGATCTTGTAAATATGCACTTTGGAAGGCGAGATAGGTGAAAGACGATCACTGGGAACCTGACTGCCCACACGTGTTTTTTGCAGGTTGACAGTTGGGTATGTAGAAGACTTAGATTCAGTTTGCCCAGCTTCCCTTCTGGTGATGAGCCTTGAGTTTGATTACACCCCAAAAGAGAGAAAACTGGTGGGAGAGAGTAGCAAATATGGGTTGACTAATTCTAAAAGTGAACATTTGAGCACCCTATAATCCAGAGGCAGTTCCAGACTTTGAAAGTAGAGGCTTTTTGGGATCAGTGACCTTCCAACCCCCCCCCCCCCAATATTTTGACATCTTGCTAAAATGTGTTTCTTTGTTCATCTTGGTTGTTTCCTGTATAGCTCCAGGATACTCAGTATTGAATAGTATTGTGTCATTCAGGGAAACATTAACTTCAGATATTCTGTAAACAGGCTGCTTTTTGCTTTTAATTAGCATGGCGAATGCTTATCTGCTATAAAATTGTCCCTTTACCTGTTTCCCACCACCCCACAAAGGATTACATACCCAGTCAAAGGACAGTCAAGGGATATAACCCACATTTCACCAAGGAAATGCTTTTTAAAAAACATACACTGCCTTTGGACCAGCAGGTGGAGTGCAGGCTAAGGCACTGGATACCAAATGACTGACTGTGTAGTTCGAGTCCTGACTTGGCAACCTGAAAATCACGCTGGGCACAAGTGTGGGCGTGCCCAAAATCCTGAGATGAAACTGGAGAAGATGGGATTGTGGGGACCAGCAGACGGCATAATGGTTATGTTGCTAGACTGTCATGTAGTTGACCACAATTCAAGTCCCGGACCTGGTGGCTTAAACTCACACCAGGTGCCCCCAAGATCTCGAGAAAATGGAGTAGGGATTGCGATGTGGCCATCCTCCCTGGAGGGTGATTTCTCGCTCTCTCTCTGTCTTTCTGGCGAGCACACATGCCCTATAGCAAAAACCTACCCCCACCACACACACACACAGACACACACACACAAAAGATGGGGTTGTGGTATGGCCATCCCTGGGGGGGGGGATTCTCACTTTCCCTCTCTCTCACTCTTACTCTCTCTCTAGAGCACATAGGTACCCTATGTCATAGTCATTAGAAAGTCAGGACAGGGACCAGCAGGTGGCGTGATGGTTAAAGGCGCTGGACTCCCACATAGCCAACTGTGGTTCAAGTCCTGAATCTGGTGGCTTGCTTTCTCACTTTCCCTCTCTCTCTCTGTCTGTCTGATCAAACTGGAAAGTAACAATAATAATAACTAAAGTTAAAATAAAATAATTCTTAAAAAAAAAGGACATTTTTTTCTGTTTTTCTATGTAAAAAATGCATTATGACTTTTCAGACAACCCTGTGTGTTGTGTATATGCACAACACATATACATACACATACACATACATACATGTATATATATGTATACATATATATATATATATAATTTTCCTTTGGGAAAAACAAATGTGTTTAATTGGGTTAATATTTTTTTTTTTTTTGGAGAGATTTTCACTATAGGGCGTGTGCGCTCGCCAGACAGACAGAGAGAGACATAGAGACAGAAAGCGAGAAATCACCCCCCAGGGGGGATGGTCATGCCGCAATCCCTTCTCCTCCATTTTCCTCTCGGGATCTTGGGCACGCACGCACACGCACCCGGCGTGAGTTTTAAGCCACCGGGTCCGGGACACGAACTGCGGTCGACTACGTGGGAGTCCAGCGACATAGCCATTACGCTAACTGCTGGTTCCCAAATTGGGTTAATATTGATTCAAACTTTAAATCATGTTCTTAGTCTTAAGCACACCTTAAGAGACAAAGAATATTTTCACAGGTGTTTAATAGAAGGGGTATCTTTGTGCTCCACAACAAATCAGATTGACAGTTTGCTCGTTTTCTGATGGCTTGAAGCTAGATTATATGTACCTGTTTTCTTTTTAAGTTTGCTATAGGGCACATGTGCTCACCAGGGAGAGACAGAGATAGAGACAGAGAGAAAGTGAGAAATCCGCCCTCCCTCCCAGGGGAATTGGCCAGTTCACAATCCCTTCTCCTCTAGTCTCCTCTCAGGATTTTGGGCACGCACACACACATGCCCAGCGTGATTTTCAAGCCTCCAGGTTCAGGACTCTAACCACAAAGAGGATCCAATCCCCTTAACCTGCACACTACCTGCTGGCCCTGTTTACCATTTAGACAATAAATAAAGGTCAGGTCCATTTTGCTGAGGATGAGTTAACCCAGCTAGAGGAAGGGAGATGATGCATATCTGGAATCGGATTAGTGGTGGTCATAAAGCATTGACAACCTTCAATTCCTTGTATCTCAGAAGTTTCCTTTATTTTCCTCAAGGTCAGATCATATAGCTAGAGGGAATAAAATGTATCTTAAGTAAATTACAGGACAGCTGATTTTCTGGAATAAGAATTTAAATTTATGTTTCCTTTATACCCCTGAGAGCCCTTCATCCCAACACTGCCCCCTCCAAGATACTGTGTAAGTCCATAGGAAGGTGTCAGTAAGTGTGAAGACCTATTGTGTACCATGCACTGAGGTCCATCCAGCGGACGCGTCAGATACTCAAGGCAATAGTCTCTGTGGAAGAGGCATAGACTAGGTACCATAGCTAGGATT